TAAATATATATAAGCTAAAGAATTAAAAAAAAAATTTTTACTCACGGAGATATAAACTATATTTTTAAAATATTATTTTTAGAAAAGAAAACAAAAAGTATAAAACATTAATCAGACTCGGTAGATTTTGCAATCGCGGAGCTGGAGACTATTTCAGGACAACTTATATAAATAGAACCGTTGCACATAAGATTTTAATCCATTTATCTTTGAAGATGTCCAGCGTCTGTCATAATTTATCATCACGTTTGCAGTATCCTAATTCTGTCAGCTTAAACTAGTCTCGCGCATAACAGGATTACATGATTTTTTAACATCAGAATAATAAATGTACTATTAACTGTGAAATCTTTAAGTCAAAATGAAATAATATTATTTTAGAATTATTTTAATTGATAAAAAATTGCCTGTATTAAAAGTTATTATAATAAATATTTTAACAATTCAATCTTTTATTTATCTTTAAAAAATATCAAAATTTTTGAAATTGGTGTTATCTCTCTCTGTCTCTCATTAAATTCTTACGCTCCATGAAAGAATGGGAAAGCTGCTATTTGTAAGTAACTTTATCTCACTAGTCATGCATTATTGCATTGTGCAACTTTGGAGTTACATTACGTCTCCCCAGATCAAGTCAAAGGACCCTCGCGTGCAGTCAACGCACGATGTGCATCGTATGCACTAATAAGCGCCTGGAATATTGATCCAGGATATAAATGCCCTTTTAACTAGATAATCTAACCTTTCTTTGAAAATATATAATAAAACAACTTTTTTATATCATTAATGAGAATATTTACTACAAAAAAATCTGTTGGGGAGCAAAGAAATTTTTGCAACAATATTACTTCACGTCACCTTAAAGATTTCGCATTTTTAAGAGAAAATTACTTTCATAAAAATTCATAAGATAATTACAGCTTTTATAGAAAGATTTCGATTGTGACTCTTTAAAAATATAATTACAATTCATGAGAAATTGGATAAAAGAATTACGTGGATCTCGTGCCACTTTCGAAACCAAACGTTTCCGTGCTCAGCCCTCTGTTAACACTAATTAGGGGTCTCCACGGAAGCTCGTGGAATCCCCCTTTCAAGAAATGCAGCGTTTATCGTGCACGAGGGATAGGTATCGATTAGCAGCGTTTGCAGTTTCGGCGAATCGCGTCCGGCGACGCATTAATGGTATTTCCAAGGGTGCAGACTCTGCCTCCGTAAATGTGTCAATGTACAAAGGAAACCGAGAAAAGGATCAATACCGCACGTCAATTACGGCTCTCCGGGTTTACGCGCTGCTCTGTCGTAAACTGATCTATTATGTAAACGCCTCCTCGTGCGTGAAATGGCCGCGCGCTGTGCTGTCTCACGTGTAAAGTCTATGGTATACATTGTAAGATCGACGGCCACGTAATACTGCAGATCGAGGTTACGATAGTGTCATAACACGATTGGCGAATGAGCGACGAAGACGCGAGCAAATGATTAGATCCACGCGTCATGCAATTAATTGCTCAAGATAAACTTTCTAGTAATTGACGCTAATTAATTTATAATTTATTCAGTGCTTTAGGATTTCCATGTGCTGTTCTAACGTTGAATATACGCAAGCTAATCAATAATGTTACCAATGCAATGGCACAAAAACAATTTCGTTTAATTTTAAATATCAGAGAGGGAGAAAGTGTTAATTTAAAATTAAGAAGAATACTATTTTATATTTTAATGACATTTCCCGATATTTTCCCGAGTTTTTTAAAAATATAAGACTAGAAGTTCGATTTGCTTCAATATTTCATCAATGCTAAAATCATCGAAAACTTTCAATAGAAGTTAAAAAAGAAACAATTATCTGATTTGTTGCAGAAGCCATGCAATATTGTTTTAAACGACAATAATGCGTCGTGTAAAATAGGAGACAATAGTGTGACCGCCGTTGTATGCGGAACGTCATGCCGCAAATACAGACTGCTCCGACCTGCATGCGGCACTGCCACGCGCGATGCCATCGGTCGCGTGAATGGGTGGGAGATGCAATTGCAACGAGCGAATTACGAGCACACTGGCGTCGTCGGAGTCGCCGGCTCCTCCGCACGTAGATAACCAGTCTCGTCGTAATTGCGATCGCAAATAATTCACATGATCGAGCAAGCAAGGGCGGATACGTGACTTGTTCGACCACAAAGCCAAGTACATCGGTATTAAGTCAACGTTAAAAATAGAAAAACTATCCAAAAGTGCAATAAGAAGATAAAATAAAACATGATGTATTTTTTCTAACTCTCTGCATTTATAATTAATATTTTATTCTAAGAAAAAGAGTGTTATTTCTGTATCTTGATAATATTTATATTCTGATATCGGTAAGAAATAACCGATTTTTTTTACATATTAAGTGATAGTAATTGTTGCAGTTCCCAAGCAAAAGCATCAATGTAACACCATTAATATCTCTATTCACAAGTACTCGCTCGTGCCGGCATTCACGATGAAAATCAAAAGCGCGGCCGCGCGTTGCGATTAGTTGCACCTCCATGCAACTTGCACAATACGTGTCATATGTGTTCTGTGCAGCACAAAGCAAGACGATTAGATTTAAACAATAAAGCTCCGAAGCTTGAGCCGAATATAACGAAAGCTGAGTTAGTTATTCAATTTCTACTTTCTTATTGCAATGAAGTTTTTAATTAACTGATTAATAAACGGCTACTCTCTTAAATATTTCCGTGTAAACGGCTTGTGTAAATATTATGCCATGTAGTAGTAATATCGCTACTTATTTAATAATGATAATAACACGAAAGTAAATGTATAACGTTATTTCATTATTAGATATTCAGAATTGCTTCGTGTTCTTGTAACTGCAGAGTCTGGCTTTTATCTATCTCTTTCAAAACCTTTGTTAAAAAAGATCTGGATTATATTTCTGATTCTATTCTTTTTGAATTCAATAGATATATGATTTCAGTAATACAGAAATGAAAATACAATAATCAAGATAATGGAAAAGGACAGAACAAGAAGACAGTTTATAGTAGAGTGATAGCAGATTCTCCAGGAGAACCTGACTATCCAGAATGCAACGTGACATAAAACATGGAAAGAGGAAGAAGAAAAGAATCGTTCTTGCGCGTAAGACTGAAAGGAAGAAACAGGGGATGGTAACACGCACTTAAATGGAAAGAAAAGAAGAAAAGCGACCAGGATCGGGCGATGCAAAAATCTTCGGACAAGCGCGTTGCATAAAATGCGATATGCAAAACAAGAAATGGAGGATGGAGACAGAAGAGGGCATGCACGTATAAGAAGAGCCAGGAGGGAAAGAGAGAGAGAAAGAGAGAAGGGAGCGAGGGGGGATGATTCTCGCACCACGCATAGCGCGTATACGCGCGGGGGCACAGGGGCTCGCCCTAGAAAACGTCAAACCGACGGATTCGCCTATTTATAGACCACCGAGTGAGTTCGCAGTATGAGCCTTTCGGAAAACATTAGCCGCTCTCTCGAGTATCAAGAGAGACGAGCGCGAGCGTGGAAATCGGACGGAAACTGCATTAGGGGCGTACCCCTTCTTAACTATGTGCGCTCGCGAACGGACGGACGGACGAATGCCGCATTCCTCCCATCTCTTTTGTTCTCTTCCTCGCCTATGGCGCGTTCAACTGGTCGTAAGTCGCGAAGTCCGTCGACACGAGACAAGGGATAGACGAAGAGGAGGACGGGGTGAGAGAGAGAGAGAGAGAGAGAGACAGGATGGGAGAACCGGCGTTCGTTCATCGCTCTCCGAATGTTCTACTCACCCATCTTCGGGAATAGCAGGAGCTGCGGCGAATCAGCTGTGGATCCTCGTCGTGTAACGGATCACACGGTCATAGCACGGCACTGGACGGCGATGTGGGCGCGCGCGTTGCGCGTTTCACTTAGAAAATCGCGGAAAACGCGAGCAACGTTCCTATCACGGTACACACGACGGCCGACATTGCGGTGCCGAGCAGAGCGCGGCTGAGTGTGGCGCGCAGGTTGCGTCTACGAGCGACGCGCTCGGAGAACTGATGTATCATCAGTGGCGCGAGATTTGAATTCGAGATTTGTTAATAAATTTACTAATTTATTCCGCATTAAATTTTTTTCTAGATACTTTGATGCCCTATCTACACCGAAGGATAATCCTGCTTGTGGCTCACCCGAGCGAGTAATGTAGACGCATTGAAATACATTGAAAATCATACTGAAGACGAAAGTGATCGGATGAGCCACAAGCAGGATCATCCTTCGGTGTAGATAGGGCATGAGCGATAATCATTTCACGCCTTGTGTTGCAAGAAAAGTGAGTTTGTTAGAGCGTGATTCTTGATCTCAATTGTACAATAAATGAAGTACAGTGGATAATATGAATATTTTGTGTAAATTAACTCACCGGTGTTGTACCCTAGCTAAGTACGCTCTCAGCTGCACCTGAAAAAATTAATACATGTGTTAATTATGAATTATAATATATTTTATGTATGTTGATTCTTAATATTTAATTATTTCCATTTTATGACATACAGAAGTCAATAATGAATAAATAATTGTACTAACTAGCTAGGATATTGCAGTGTGCTTCCCCAATGTAGATTTCGCCTTTGTTTGCTTCGCCGAAGCTCCATCGAAGATCCGGAAATCCGCATCTTGGTTATGTGCACTATCGAACGAAAATCAAACTTCACTTTTCACTTCCACTTTTACTTTTATGTATTCACGTCGAAAATTGGCCAGACCTAGGCACACAAAACACAAATGTGAGATAAAATACATTTTGTATCGCGATTCCCGCCATAACTGTAACCTGCACACATACTCGATCACAGTAATTGTTCTCAATCGCAGCATTTACGGCAAATCGTACATCCCGACAATCGCCCGTTACTCTAGTCGACACTCTCGGCATAAAGTCGTACTAATTATGCAATTTTAACGAGTAAAATATGCGGATTGCTCGCGGATTGTTTGCGCTTCACATTCCGAACTGCATAGAACAATAGATTTTAATGGCGACCGTTAAAAAGTGATGTGCATAATTTTGAATTTATCGATATTAACGCTACGAGTGTCGCCATCTGTGATCGTCATGATAATTATTATTCACCCCCTTCGCTGTACAGAGTAAATGTAAAAAGTACTTTTCGTAATTATTTATGCATTATACTCATTAAAAGTGTACAAAGAATACGAATTTTTATTGGGAATGATTAAAGTGACTGAGCGAGTGCCGAAATGCCCCGACGGGGCATGTAATTTATCACAGTTGTTCGCGCCTAAAGGCATTTCATTGATCTACATCGCAAATACAAACCTGTGAGTAACCTCAGTGAGTATAGCGTCCGGTGTGTTATAGACGCTCTATGAGCGCGCGATGTATCTTTCATTTAGCACCTTGAAAATTGTACTTGTCGCAATTAAACCGGATAAAACACAATCATGCTGCATGCGTATCGTTCGTCTCGCTCGTTCGTGTATAAATAGCGGGAAAAGCAAGCTGGCAAACTGTTTAATTCCAAATTGATGCAATTTTATATGTTATATATAATGTTGGCTACAATTATTACGTAGCGCGTTGTGGCAGAAGTGCTTTGTCATTTTTCCGAAGTCTTTCCCGCGTTATTTATCCTCTTCAAAGTGTTCGATTCATTTTCTTTAAGTGTTTCGTCTCGCGTTTGATATAAATTGTAACAAATTCGCGACGTAAATCGTGCCATTTGCCAAATTCGAATCCGTGATAAGTGAAAGAGAAAAGTGAAGCGTGCAAGTTGATTTTTACTCGGTAATGTGTGTATGTGTGTGTGTAGTGTAGCTGACAATAAATGCAAGTTTCCAGTATTTATGGAGTCTTTGATGGACCTGATGTGAAGCAATCTGAGGCGGAATCTACAGCGAATGCAGCAAATTACAATATTTTAGTTGGTGAATACAATTATTTGTTTAAATATGTACATGTAATTTTGACACTGAACACACACATACATGCAGATTCATGTGCATTACAATTTGTGCTTATTAAATATTCATTCCTTTTCTCAGATACAATTGGCGGCGTTTCCAGTTAGGATACAATGACCGGTAAGTAAATCATTGATTTTATTTGCGTAATTACGCAAAAATACATGATTGTAATTACACACATATACACAATCACAGTTGCATATGCGCTTTACGTGTATAGTGTGTCCATCTCGCGTTGCGTCTCCAAATCAATTTTACAATGCACTTATCATCCTACGATATGCACTTGAAACTGCTTTTACTTGTATCGATAATTCAGTTCCTCTACAAGATAAATTGATAAAACAGAAAACAGAATCATTTCTTTTACCGTTCGCGTTGGTACAAACAAGACGAAATTGGAGGGCAGATTGGAGATGGCAGTAGAAGCATTGTTTTCTCGACTGTGCTTTCCCGTTGCTCTCCCGTCCGGCGCCCTCCAGCAGCAGCCGTAGCAGGCCGAGAGCGCGCGCGTTAATTGGTGGGACCAATTAATTCCGACAAGTTCGTTCGATGCGATTAGCACGTACGTGGTGGTGGTGCTGATGATGGTGGTGGTGATGCGCGCGGTTTAAGTAGCTCGATTGCGGCTGTATGCACCGTGCTGCGCTCCCTTGCACCCGGCGTCGCCGTCGCCGATCTGCCCCCGGAAACCGAGAAACCTGTTCCGTCGCGCGACACTGCTTTCTCACATTCTCGCTGCTTTCGCACGAAAGATATCCCATCGCCGCGACGTGCTCCTCACCGGCGAGCGAGGACGCGCGCCGCGCCGGTTGCGGACACAAATTACCGGAGCTACCGGAGCTACCGGAGCTACGTGCTCACAGCGAGCTTGCTCTTTCCCAAGCGAGAATACTCGAGTAAGATTCTGAGCAATGCGACACGCGATTTGTTAAATGCCGCTGTGATTGTAGATGTGTGTGTGTGTGCAATAAATTTATCTTAAACTGTTACGATTACTTTGCTTTTAATTTATTCACATAATTATTTGTGCACTATTTTGATTAATATGAAACCATTACTGTTAACATAGAATGTTGATCTTGAGACGCAAATTTTATTAAATATGATTATTTTTTTTTATTTACTTGAGAGTATAACATATCTATAGATAAATCTGATAACGGAGCTAAATATTTATTGATCTATATTTTTATATTAATAATAATTTCGTCGTGAATCATTTTAATCTGTCCCATTCAGGCCATAAAAATTAAGTAAAGCTATAAAATATTTTAATGTCTATTTTAACTACTGCATACAAATATATTACACGTATAAAAAATAATTCGCATGATTACTAAAAGAGTGAACATTTCCGAAACGATAAAAGCATCGAAGCGTTGCATACTGCGCCTAATAAAATTTACTCAGACGATTTAATCGAGATCCGGTATCGGCCGATGTGTCGATACAGTTCTTTTGGCGAATTCGCATTCGGGATTATGCCCATAACGTGCGTGTACCGTATAGTCTACCTATGAGTCTAGAAGGTCAGGAGCGTAGAGCCGCGGTGGAGAGAAGGTAAGCCGGCGGTTGATTTATCGGCCAATTAGTCCACCGTATCGGGTGCGCTTCTCCGGTGCGTCTCATCTTACAGACGATATCCCGACGAAACCGGCGCACGGGTTAAAACGCCGGGAGAGCAACAGTGGCGTAACTACGCCTCCATAGCTGAAAATACGTAATATATAATATGCTGATATGAAACGACGCGATTGTATAAAAGTCGACCGTGCGAAAAAGATGAAAGAAAAAACCGACAATGCCGCTATAAAAAAATTAGATTCATGTATGTCCATTATTCATACAAATAACAAAATTTAGATTTTTATAATTTTATTAATTTTATGTTGAACGGAACGGCTTTAAATATTCATTAATTTTTCAAAATCAGATATTAGTTATTTGTCTTTTCGAAAGTTACAGATATTTTCTAGGCATTAAATATTTTCTAGCTAGAAGCTAATTATTATTATAATTGGCTGATACATGGATAAATAATTTGATATAATACTTTTTCGAGAATTTCGAGATATTAATATGTATAGAGTTGAAATAGGAGAAGCCGGATTTGCCGTTGTAATGGTTACAAATGTGGGAACGGCGGTGTTTATTTGACACACGCGACGACGTGTCGTTTTCTTTTTCGCAATCTTGCTACGACGGCTTCATTAGGCCGGATCCGCTTCGATTTGCGGTTCGCGGTTAATGGTGCACGAGCATCCGCGTCGGGCTGTCTCTCGTATCTTAAGGTATCTCTACATGGCGTTCGTCAGCGCGTACCGTTTAGCGCTTCAACGTTTTACCCGGGCTAAAATAGACGGTGGCTCTCTGCTTAAGCGTTCTCAGAAAAATGCTCGTCACTCGAGGAAACAAGATTAAAAGGCATTCGCAGTGTCAACTGGAAGTGGTTCCGATACGTTCCGCCTTTGGTGCGAAAATTGCTCGGATGAGAAAGAAACGATAATTTTTTGAGTTTCTCCTCTGGGAGTTTTCTCGGATTGTAATCCTGTCAAACAATTTGTAGGAAGTTTATAAAGCCATCGAGCACAATATTATAAGTGTCTTTTCGGGAAAACTTATTTTTTAATATGCTCATGAACAAAATGCTTACTACTCAAATCTGATTAAATTGCTAACATCAAGTTGAAACATATTACCGTGAATATTAAAATATTATATATTAAATTATATATTATATATATTATATATTATATATTAAAATATTATATATTTTATTTTTCCAACTTAGCTTACAACAGTTATTTATTCTACATATTAATGTTTTCAATTTTATTAATAAAATTACTTTAAATATTGATTAAAAATATAAAATCCTTAATTGCGTGTATTTATATAAAGCAGAACAAGTTGAAATCACACACAGAAATAGATAAAGATTGCTCAAAGAAATCAATAATTTGAACATTCAAAGTAAGTTAACATTGATGACTTGCAAATTTTTCATTTAAGCGTAATACTGTCTGAAAACACTCGTGTATTTTTTAATACTTTCGAAAGGTTAATGAAATATTCAACCGCAAAGAATTAACATTATAAACCGACGAAACGCCACGCGAGCTGAGAGACGGCCGACCGCGAATTCTCGTGTTGGCATTGCGATGATACGCGCGTTAGCTAATGCTCGAAACACGACACGACGGTTTTCGCGTCTTAGCAACTTCGATTCTATTTTTCGCAACGGCCCCGAAAAAGGGCCCGTACGTGATGACTTGCCTTTGGCACCATTAGATCTGCCGACTCGAATTTCAGTTATGCCGCTGCGAACCGAACGATATAGCGGCAGCGGGTCCACTGTTCTGCTCGTGAAAGGTCCCAAACTTCACGGCCATTATCGAAAAGTACGCGGACGAAGCGACAAATTAAACATAATTAACGTGACATACGAATTGTAGAAATTATATTTAATCTTTTGAATTTAGAGTAAAATTAAAACAATTATGAATCAATATACATATATCTCTATGGCAAAGAAAATTTATAAGAGACCGGTTGGAATATTAAATCGTTAAAAATTTAATTGATATATGAATCAATTATTTGAGTATTTAAAATTGCGAAGTCAATATTCTAACAGCACGACAAATCATTTCTATTATTATATAAAAATTTATGAGATATATATTGCTCCTCGCATTTGAAAAATTGAAATCTTTCTGTCTTCACCTAATTTTAAATACGAAATATACATATGTATTTAGGTGCTTGAATTATTAATCAGCATCATTAAAGTAGGACTGATAAATGGGAGCAGTACACATTGATTGCACTCCTTTTAAAATAAAGAGTCACGCCAGACGATACCATTTACCCGTTATTAAACAACTAATTTCGCATTCACCATTGTGCGTCAGTGCATAGTAATAAGCGACGAAGTATCGCAGGTCACGGCCACGTCGTGACGATCAAGCCGAGTGTTTTCTAAATTGTTTTTTCGCCGTCTTGCGTGCGCGTGCCCGGCGTCTCGCGGAGCTCGCTTACGCGCGTAAGCAAGCGCGAGCGCGGATAAGCGCTGCAAGAGGTTTACGATTTTACTTTATTGCCTCGGTGATGCATTGTCAAAATGTATTACGGCCGCGCCTGTATGGAGCGCGGTTTAATATCCTGTCTGCATTTAATCGTACCGGTATTAGAGTAGCGGACTACGGGTGGTCCTATTAACCGCGCCACGGCGCCGCGCCGGTGCGCGCCCGGTGGTGGGTTTACTTTACCTTTCGCGGATATATCCGGCCCGTATTTACGTTATTAGCTCGCCGTTACGTCACTCACGCTTTTTCCTCCCCCTCCGAAAACGTTGATTAACGCGCCACCCGCGCACAATGTCCCACCGGTAATTAGATGTCGATGTGAACGCGCCGAAAGCCGGGCCTGGGCTAATTGGACCCTTGGGTCCGCGAATCCCGGGATCTTCTCGCCGCCACAAATTTTGGGGATGGTTACATTAATGCCGATTAACACTGTGACTGGTTAACTAAGATAACGCGATGGTGTTGCAAATTCGCCTAAATTTACTCGCGTTCAGACAAAGTGAAGAGTTTAGAACATTCTCTGATTTAGAATTCAATGGTCGTCTAAAAATTTGCTACAAAAAATACTTTGTTTTTTTAATTTTTATATAAATTTGTTTGTACTTGTTGATATGTTAATGTAACGTTAAATTTTGTAATAAGTATACTCACGTCTAATTTTGCCGCATGCAGCTTGCAGGCTTTTGTCTGCTGCAGTAAAGCTGCAGCGTGTTCTCGTGCTTAAGTGTGCAGCTTTCCTCACTAGATAGGTACTCGAAGAAAAGACTCCGTCACGGAGTTCGGGTATTTTGGAGCGGTTTTGCACGTGCGACGCGCTCGCGGCCGTCTCTCTTGACTGAACTATAATTTGCACGCCGTAAATACGTACATACCGTGCCGGTGGTACCGCACAGGATACGCCGACGATGAGAACTTAAACGCCGCAGATGTGCGACCGGTATACTATGTCTTGGTCATAAAACGCCACCGGCAGTTAAATCCGTATTTCTAGAGCGGACTAGCTCCTCTTTGTAACCGTTTGCGTCT